ATTTAAGAAGGCTTCCCAGCATAATGCAGCAATTCCATCAACTTCTTACTCAATTTCATATAAAAATTCACCTTATGATTTCCTCTGGAATTCAGTCTTTATATTGCATGTACTTGATTGGGCAGAAATAATCATGAAATAGTCTTACCAGTGGCTTATTCTTCCTTTGGTATAATGGAACTGATCTAGTGTATCTTCTTGAGGTCAAAAGGGTTCAGCTTTGAAATTTAAGGTGGTGTCAGCTGCTGTACTTGATGAGGTATTTGTAGATGCATGGTGTAAAAATGAAATATACTTAAAAATTTTTTTTTTTTTTAAAGATTTTATTTATTTATTTGACAGACAGAGATCACAAGTAGGCAGAGAGGCAGGCAGAGAGAGAGGAAGGGAAGCAGGCTCCCTGCTGAGCAGAGAGCCCGATGCGGGACTCGATCCCAGGACCCTGAGATCATGACCTGAGCCGAAGGCAGCGGCTTAACCCACTGAGCCACCCAGGCGCCCTGAAATATACTTAAAAATTTGGCCCTCCTTTGTGTGTCTTGTGTTTCAAGCTCCCCTACATCAACTTCTTGATGGGAAACTTGTCTGAGAACTTAATTCAGTCTGATCAAGTTTTAATGGAAACATGGTAAAATTTTTTAACTTTATTTTTTTTTAGAGCGGTTTTAGATTCACAGAAAAAGTATGAGGATAGGCTAGTACAGGAGAGTTTCTATACCCTGCACTCAGTTTTCTGTATCATTAACCTCTTATAGTAGTATGGCATATTTGTTACAGTTAATGAACCAATATTGGTATGTTGTCGACCAAAGCCCTTACTGTAAGATTTTCTTAGTTTTTACCCAAAGTCCTTCTTCCGTGCCAGGGTAGCTGATATATTTTCTACATTTACATGTGACTTTTTCATAAGTGAAGTATTGTCATAGAGCCATATAATAAATGCTATTTCTGTTTTAAGTAACTTACGGAATTTGGGAGAAGAATAAAAGAAAGCTTGCCACAGTGAAATTTTTATATTCTCTTATGCATAAGAGCCACATGAGCCAAATAAATTTTTATTTTTTTCCCTGTTCTATATTCAGTTGAACAGGTTCCTGTAGAATCATACAACATTCCCCTGTCCCAGGCCGAAGTCATTCAGGAAGGGAGTGACGTGACTCTAGTTGCCTGGGGCACTCAGGTCGGTAACATTTCTAAGAACTGATGATGTCCATGTTGTGCTTGGAAGCTCTAATTTTTAATCCTGATACTATAAAAATCCAAAGTGTTGTTTTTCTTATAGGTCAAATTTAAGTCTTGTTAGTGCTATATCTGTATCTGGTACTGACTTCTGGTTGAGGGTGAGGTGTCTGTTCAGTCATATTAAAATATCTATGCATGTGGTGAAGCTTAAAAATCTGTTGAGTTGATAGAAATGTACTCATGGGAAATTGTTTCTTCTGAAGCATGCATTATATGTCCTCATACTTGTTTCTGTGCTTGACTTCCTGTCTTTTTCATCACATCTAATGCCATCCTTGTGATACTTGCTCGGCTATGTAGACCAGCCAGGGGTCCAGCCTCAAAATTCTGTACCTTCCTGTGTTCCAGTGAACCTCGGTACTGATCTGCCTCAGTTTCCCCAGTGCTTGTTATCACATCGTTCTGCCTCCAGACTCCTCTCTGGCTGGAGATGTCTACCTCCTCTCTATCTCCTTCTTCTAAACAAATGGTCCATTTTTCTTTTTTCTCTGTGAAAGAAGTACTTATTTTAGAAAACTTGTACAGCATTAAATGAAGAAAAAGAAATCATTTGTAATACTATACCCTCTGACTCTCTTTTCCACTTGATTTTTGGCATGGAGAGGTAGCTCTCCTGGTTTCTTACCGCCAATGGGAAAAACTCTTACCTTTATCTCTGTCCCTCAGTGTGCATCTTTGCCTCTCTTTGTAATAGGGAAGTTAGTATATTAGATGCTATGTCCTATAACTTACCTTTTCCTCACACCTTCCGTGTCTGCTGCCAGTTCTTTACTCCTTTTTCTCTTTTGTCCTATGGTTTTCATAGCTCCCTCTACAGATCTTTCAGATTCCATTTTGCCTTTTCTAGGGCTGTAACTTTCTAGTGGTTCCTTCCCTCTTCTGCATTTCTCCTTTCAATGTCCCTTTTATTAAAAGGGTGTATATTTCTTTCCTTTCTAAAAAGTACCTATTCTTTACCCTACTTTTCCCTTAAATACCAGTGTATTTCCTCCTTTCTTTTATCACTAAACTTGAACGACTATTTTCTACTACCTGTATTTAATTCCTTAACTTCCTTATGTTCTTATACCTATGAGTTAGTTCTGTCCCCACTGATTTACTAAAACTATTATTGCTAACATTACTAATTTTTATTTTTTTAAAGATTTTACTTATTTATTTGGCAGACAGAGATCACAAGTAGGCAGAGAGGCAGGCAGAGAGAGTGAGAGGTAGAAGCAGGGTCCCTGCTGAGGAGAGAGCCTGATGTGGGGCTCAATCCCAGGACCCCGAGACCATGACCTGAGCCGAAGGCAGAGGCTCAACCCACTGACCCACCCAGGCGCCCCACTAATTTTCTAATTTTTAAATCAACCCTTATCCCATATCACTACGCTGTATGACACAGACTCCTGTTTCCATGAAAACCTTTCTTCTTTAGTTTCTGGGATACATTGTCTCCTGATTTTTCTTTTTCCTTCCTCCCTCCCTCCCTCCCTCCCTTCCCTTCATTCCCTTTCTTTCCTCTCTTATCCTGCACAAGTGGTTCCACACTAGGTGTGGAGCCTGACCCAGGGCTCAATCTCATGACCCTGAGGTCATGACCTGAGCTCAGATTAAGAGTTAGTTGCTTAATTGACTGAGCCACCCAGGCACCTCCTCTTCTTCCTCCTCTGCTGCTGCTGCTGCTTCTTCTTCCTCTTCTCCTCTTCCTTCTTCTTCCTCTTCTTCTCCTTCTTCTTCCTTTCCTCCTTTATCTTCCTTCTCATTCCCTTCTTCTTCTTCCTCTTCTCCTCCTTCCTTTCCTCCTCCTCCTTCCCCTTCTCCTTCTTCTTTTTTTCCTTTTTCTTCTTCAAGTGAGTTCCTCCTTCTCCATTTTCCCCATAAATGTTGGTCTTCTTCAGGGACCCATGAGTTCTGCCCTTTACTTCTCCTCCCACATGCTTTCACTAGAAACTCAACCTGCTCCTCTAACTTTACTTTCTGTGTGCTGGTATCTTTAGAATCAGTGTCTCTATTAATGACTGCTTTCCTTTCCTGAAATTAAGGTTATCTTTCTAACCGTTTTCTGGACATCTGTGTTTGATTACTTTGGGGAAATACGGGGATCAACATATCTAAAACAAATTTAATTCTCCATTGCTAATAAGTTCCTCTGACTTTAAAGACTCTTTCTATTAATGATATCAGAATTCATCTAACTTTTTGGGTCCAAATCTGTGTAGTTATTTTCTGCTATTTTTATTTCAGGTTCACGTGATCCGAGAGGTAGCTTCCATGGCTCAAGAGAAGCTGGGAGTGTCTTGTGAAGTCATTGATCTGAGGACTATACTACCTTGGGATGTGGATACAGTTTGCAAGGTATGAATATAGTGTTGATAGAGTGTCATTTCCTTAAACCTGTGGACCAGATTTGTTGGCAGTTTGCAAGGAATTGTTTTGAAATTTCAAGCTTCATGAGCATTTTCAACTGATTGAAAACTTCGAAACTTATGCTGTGACAGAAACATATGTTATATAAACAGCTTAATGCTCAAGGAAACCAATCACTTGAGGGTTTTTCCCTCCCATAGTTCTTTGTTTAAAATATTATGGAACTGTGTCCTTCATGCAGCCTGCTTGGGTTGAGCTGTGAAAGTAATGGAGTAGTGCAAATGAGAGCATATCAGGTTGTTGAGGTCACCTGTGTTTTTAACTACTTATGGGTTATGGTTCGATAAGCAAGGTTTAATAGAATCAACTAAATGGTTTGCCTGAATTTTCATTTGTCTCCTCTCCAAAAGAGGTGGAGATGGATTACTTAAAAAACAAAACAAAGCCAAAAACAAAAACAGAAACATAACAAAACCCCAAAACAACCTTCTCTACATAGTCTGTACTATGAATCACAGTTTGAGTGTTATGTTGTGAGATTCTGTCTGCTTTTAGTTTTCCATCTAAGCAAACTCTTGATAGTCCCTTCTCAGGTAGTTCAATTCTCATTTCTTGGTTATAACTGATAGCTTTCATATTAATAAACCAAAGTGCATCTGTTTCCATTGTGGTCTGTAAGGAAGATTAAGCTCTTTTTGTGTGATGGTCTTATGTACTAAAGTTGAGGTAATGTGGCATGTCTTACTTTTTCTTGATTTACTGTTAGAGCAAGTGAATTCTAAGACCTAGGGTATTTTATATCCTTTTTAAAGAATAGATAGCTTAGCTGTTTCTTAGGTTAGTTGTGTGAAAAAGATCTGCAGCTACTGCTGCTCTTAGAGTATAGCGTAGGGTGTGTTTAGGTAAAGATTGTTTTATAATTTATTGGAAGACTTAAGATAGTAAATGTTCTGTAGACTCACTTGACATCATCTAGACACTTGACATGGTTATGGATGGCTTCAACAATATTCTAAGTCTTTCTAGTTTCCATCATTAAGAGCAGTATTTTAGGTTGAATTACTCATAACTGTAGGAGAGTCATGCTTCTTATAGGCTTTTTCAAATCAGGTCAAACACTGGGTTTTCTTTCAAGTAGCCAAATATTCCAAATTATGGTTAAACTGGAGCTGATAGCCTTTGCCCTAGGGTGGGCTTCTTTTTTGCAACCGTATCCCCCATTTATTCTTGGGGTTTGTAGTTATGGAGTGAATGGTGCTTTTATATGGGGATATAATGTTTTGTTATGCTGCAGTGGGGAGTACTGTTAAATGGTTGGGGTGAGTAGTTTTAAACTATATTGACATTTTTATATACTTTTTATATCCAAAAGTATTTGGAGCAGCTTATGGTAAAATACAAATATAACAACACTCCATGCTTAATTGTGAAGATAAAGTGAAGAGAGAAGAAGAAAGAAGGGGGAAATTATTTATTTATATTTACCTCTACATAACTTTGCTTGTGGGGTATGCCCCCTCTCCCCTTTTTAAATCTACTGATTGCATCTTTGTGTGATCCCGGAATGTAGATCCTAGTTCCTTGGGGCCCTTTACTACTGGAAAAGATGAAAGAGGACACTAGAGACTGCTCCTGAATGAAAAGGTGATTCATCAAACCACTGAGTTTCTGGCCTTATCCTTTTAGTCTTGTGTTGGGGTGCTTTCATCATGTTGTTTTTCTAGTTGATGACTCTTTAGTTAGGACAGTGAAAGTCAGCTTGCTTTCTCTTGATTACTTTGGGTTCTGTGACTCTCTTCATTGCTGACCATGGTAATCTTCTGTTTTCCTTTCATGTATCAAAGAAAAGTTTTGGTATGTGGCATCTTTCTAGGGTTTGGAGATGACTTTAAAGAAGAGGACCCTAGAGCTAAACCTCATTAAAAGTGAGGCTTCTTCTTCTTCTTCTTTTTTTTGAACTACAGTTAAGTTTTTCTTTATGAATTCTGTAGTGATCAAAATTTATGTTTATTATCTTTTTCAGTTAGTGCTGTGTTTTGTTGGTTCTTTTGTTTTATGATAAAATTAGATTCCTCAGCTTTGTTCATGACATGTTAAGCTCAACACCCAAAAGCATGTTTTGGAATACCTACTCAAGAAAAGGCCATTAAAGGTTAAAAAAAAAAAAACAAAACCCAACTTATTGAACATACATAAACATTAGCACATTATGCATAGTAAAATGACTCTGGGACAGTTGAGGAATTGGTTAATGCAGTCTGAATTTAACTGTGTTTTAAAAAACATAGTCATTCTTTTTGCTTGAGCCTTGAAGCATTGTTTAGAAGTTATAATCCTGAAAAATTGCTTGGGAACAGAGAGCAGCAGAGTGTTTGAATGTTGCTCAGGGAAGCTACAAAATTGGAGACCTGAGTGGGTCCAGGAACCAAGAACCAGTGGTTCATCTACTGTTCGGGACCTGATATTAGAGAGCTAAGCTGGAAGCCTCTGAAAAGCAGAATAAAAATTCCCGAGTTTTGAAGTGCCTGGGAGACAGTCCTACCTTGGAAGTTGGAAGTGTGAGGAGAGGGGATAGCTTAAGAACATCACTGAGGAGAGTTGAAAGCCCTGAAGGGCATGGTAAATTGACTCTTTTTACTTGGAGGCACCTGCCAAGTAAGTCTCAGCTAGACACTGAGAACCCAGGGTGTAAAGGATTCATGTTTCATGGGTTGTAGTGACAAAATAGGAAACTTGGGGTCGGGGGTGCTGAAACACACAGTTGGGCTCCCATTCAAGATAAACGTCAAATTTTACAGCTGTGTACTGTGGAAACTAAGAAGCAAATGCCTGGAAGGCCAAGCCATCTTTTGAGACTGGAGTGTCAAAGATCAGCCATACTTTCAGTTGAAAGTTGTAGAGTCAGGTCTTAGGATTTACAAGAAGTAGATTGAAGCTTCTCAAATCCACAGCATAGCCTCTCTCCCTCTCAGTTCCTTATTGGATTAATATAACTTACCTTCTGTTCTGTCTGCCCAGCACAAAGAGTCAGTCCTCCCATCATCTGGAAACTCTGTGAATCAGCATTCAATAAAAAATTACTAAGTATATGAAGAGACAGGACAATTTGATTCAAAACCAAGAAAAAACAGAAACAATAGAAAGCAGAAACAGAGGCGATCCAGTCATTGGAGTTAGCAGACAAAGACTTTATTATGTTTAGGAATATAGGAGGAAGAAAAAGAACAAAAGAGGTAAGAAGGTAAAGAATTACCCTGGAGGAGTGTGTGTATGTGGGTGTGTGTTAGAGAGAGAGAGAGAGCTAGAGAGAGCATTGTAGAACTAAAGAAATATTTGTCAGTAAGAACTCAGCGGATGTGTTTACAAACTTATTGGACTTAGTAGATGATAGTATTATGAACTAGAAGGCAAGTATATAGAAAATGTCCAAACTGAAGCACAGAGAGAAGGGAAAAATAGAATAGATTAGAGCAGAAGAGAGCATAAAACACACTGGGCATCTGGTCAAAAGATCTGTCCCATATATGATTAGAATTCCAGAAGAGGAGAGAATGAATTGGTCAGAAGCCATATAAAAAATATTTCTCCTTAAGCTTTAAGGACATCACCATTCTTGAGGATTTGTAAACCTCTAAGGATGTATTCAAAGAAAACCAAACCCACCTACAAAATGGAATGACATCTTAAATTGCTAAAGATGCCAACCTAACATTCTATACCCATTGAAAACATACTCTTAAAGTTAAGATGTAATAAAAAAAAAAAATACCTTAGGCACATAGAAATTGAGAGAATTTCTCACCAGCACATTTTTACTAAAAACAATACAACAAGGCATTTCTTTAGGCAGAAGGAAAATGATCCTATAAGTCAGTCAGAATGGGCTTCTATGGAGTTATAATATTCTGTTGTTCTAGAATTATTAAATGTAATATTTTTATTAGATCATAGTAAGTTAGGGATGCATGTTGTAACCTCAGGACTAACAATTGAAATCATAGTGAAAGTATATTTCCAGCAAGTTAAAAAGGGACCTATAGATAAATAGAAGTATTTGGTTAAACTAAAAGAAAGGAAAATATGTTAAAAAAAAGAAAACCCAAAACAAGTAAACAAACAAAAAAACCCCCAAACAAAACAGGTGTGTCACTAGAAAACAGATAGATGATAGCTATAAACCCAAGTATATAAGCAATTAAACCCAGAAGGATTAAATCTAGTATACATTATGAAATGCCACAGTATGCCTAGCTCAATTGAATATGGAACATTTATCAAAATTGACCAAATGCTAGGACATAAATATAATCTTAAACTTCAGATGTTTAAAGTCATTTAGAGTTTGGACTATAGTGGAATTCAGTTAGAAATTGGATTCTAATTTCTGGAAATTAGAATTTCCAGATTTCCAGAAAAGCCTCAACTTCCTACCAATGAAATTTAAATCAAAGGTTGTAAAAGAAACTGAAACAGAAGTTAGAAAAATACTGAACTGAAGGGTTATGAAGTTACTAAATATCAAAAATTTCAAGATTCAGCTAAAGCCATGCTTGGAGAGAGCTGTATGACCAGAAATACATATATTTAGAAAAGAGGAATAAGAACAAAAAAATTAGTGATCTGAATTTCCATCTCCAGAAAGAAAATCAAATCTAGAGAAAATAGGATAAATGTAGTGAGAAAGAGCAGAAATCAGTGAAACAGAATGTACAGTAGAGAAGTTTAATAAAGTAAAAATTAGATTTTTGAAGAGACTAATGTACTTGATAAACCTTTAGCAAGATTAATGGAAAAAAACAGGGCAAACACAAATGACAAACACCAGGTATGAAGAAGGGGGAAATCACAGAGCCTACAGACAATAGAAATATACTAAGAGTATAGCCTGAACAATTTTATGAATAAGTTTTGGGTGAAATGGACAGATTCCCAGGAAAATACAATGTTTTCAAAAATAAAAATTAGAAAACCTCAATAGTCATATATCA